AGAACTTCTCAACCGAGTTTACAGCCGATAAACGCGAAGAGGAAGTTAAACTAGTCATTGTTACACAAGTATTGAATATAATGACTGTGTATGAAAGAAATCTAGATTGAACAGCCTTAAACGTCTATGGTTAAGCACCAGCAAGGAGATAAAAATTAGAATTTTGAGAGCATGCATCTTCCCTGTAGCTACATACGGATGTGAGTCGTGGACTATCTCTAAGTCCTTGAGAAAGAGAATAGGGGCTTTTGAGCTGAAATTGTACAGAAAGATTCTCAGAATATCTTGGACAAAGAAGAGGAGAAATATTAACATCTTAAAAGATCTAAACTTCAAGGAAGATTGGCTAATAGACAGCATCCTTTCTCGAAAGCTGACATATTTTGGTCAAATCAAGCGCCACGACGGATTAGAAAACATTATAGCAGAAGGCATGGTACCAGGAAGGAGGGGCAGGGGCCGACCGACACGAAGATGGGCACAGGATATAAGTGACTCCTTGAGTATGAAAGTACATGAGGCGGGAGAACTGGCGAGAGACCGAGTTTCTTTCAGGCAGACTGTGATGAGAGCGACGTTCTGCAAAGGACCTGCTACATGATGATCTATCTATCTTTGGAAGTGCAAGAAATGTAGGAGTTGTTAGCTTCTAGAAGAGTCAGCGTTACTGTGGTAATGGAGGTGAGCAGTATTATTACAAGGAACAAAATGGAATATATGTCTGGAGCAGACAGTAAAAATGCTTCCGCTTTTGGCTATACTTTGCACTCGTTTCTATCTCCCACGTGGTTTCTTATCTCGCAGTCTTGAGGTTAAACGACTGAAGATACGTGTCGTGACGACTGCTCGGACAGTAGTCAAACTTGTAAGGTCATGGCTTTGTACTCAAACGACTGGCTATTGCAGACGATCCTATCGGAGTTTTTGCACCCGGTAACCAATTCCCCCCTGTGTGTTTTTCCACACCACTGCTATAGACATGTGTGAAATCACAATACCAAACGGTTGACATTCAAAATACCTCTGGCGTTGTGTGTTTGGATTAGTGCAGAATTACTATTAACTTAATTATACTAAGTACTACACTACTACCTTATTGTTGTGGTGCTTGTTGATAAAGGCTTCGGTTGTTCCTGTGAGTGTCAGTTTTCTCTTCTCCTTCCTCCTCCACCTCGTTGAGATTATTAGTCATAGTTCAGTATTTTTATTTTTGTTTTTGTTTACTACTGTTCTGCAGATTTCAGAGGGCGTTAATTTGGAAGACCTAATCCATTCATATTTCCATTCAGAACCTTGAATTGTTCTTGTTTCTATGCCATTTTCTTTTACCGGTTAGTCAGTTGATCACCACATAAGTTAATATTTACTTGGCCTCTGTTACTTTTTTATTTATATTTTCTATTTAGTGACCAGTAATTAACATTTCTCGCTAAAATGAGTGTGTACTGTTTATGTTTTGCCACTTGGGAAGAACCCTAGCGTGTTTGTTTGCACAAGGTTCTACAAATCAGCGGGGGGCAGTGTTTTTCAGAAAGCTCTACAGGGTAGTACCGGGTCATTAATTGTGCGCACGATTCTTTGCTTCGTGTGACCAACCTTAATAACGTTTGTGTCCAAGTGCTATTTAAGTCAAACGAAGAATTATTCTTACCTGTTCTGTATCATCTGATTCATTTTGTCAGGACATTATTCTGTTAATACACAACAGGAAACAAATTTGATTATATAGTGTTTTATTAAATGTCTGCATCTATTAAATAATTATATTTTTATCAGCACAATACAAAGACAGTGATTATGTTATAAACATTTTCACTGAGTGATTTATGTAGTATATTTATATTTAGTGTGATTCTATTCTATCGTAGTAATACTAACGCAACTGTTGAGTCTAGTCTCTAGATAACATAAGTCTTGAGTTACTGTTCTTTTATAAAATTTCTGTGTGGATATACATTACTGTGTAAAAGAAAAAAAAACAAGTAACCAATTGCGTTTGTGGGAGACAGCAGAAGTGCGTCTCTTGCAGATTTGGTGATTTATGTAAAATCGACAGCTTCTTTTGTGGACTTTGGTAGAATTCATTAGAAGCCACGGCTTCTTTTGTGGACTTTGATATAATTTTATAGAAGTGCTGCTCCTTTTTTTTTTTTTTTAAGTTTTCAAAAATTCTATAGAATTGGCATCTCCCTTTGTGGACTTCAGGGTATAATTATATACTATAGACGCAGTAGCTTCTTTTGTGCACATTGGTATAATTCCATATAAGAGAGGTGGCTCCTTTGGAGCAGTTCAGCATCAAGTGGAAGAAGAATGAGTACCACTAAGGAGAGTGATATCCTGCTGTTGTCGGATTCCAATAGTACTCCAATGGAGAGAAAACCGAGCAGCGGAAGCTACCATACACCCAGAGGAGAGTTTTTTGAGAAGAGGGAGACCAACTTAGACGGAACTAAGAAAGTGACCTACATTCTGCAGACTTCTGGTGTACATAATGATCACATTAGGTTTGTTACCATTTTCTCTTTTATGCTAGTGCTACCATTATACTTGCTTCAGTTATTGTTACTCAGGGGTGCTTGAACCTGGGATTTCAGGTTACTTTGAGCCCCCTCCCCAATTGCAGTAATTTTTAGAGGGAAGTGGGAAGGACTTTGAGCCTGCTTTTGCTTCCACCTTAGAATATTGGGGGGGGGGGGGGGGGGGGGGGGGGGGGGGTCCCCTTGCCATGTATACACATTCTCTTTTTCTAAGGTAGTTTTATTGGTAATAGTTTTATAGTAATATTTTAAATATTATATATTTTTTGGGGGCCATTGAGCACACAGTAATAACCTTTACTATTTTTACACATAAGCCCCCCGCCCATCTTGAGGGCCCACCAGCTCCTAAGAAATTGTAAGGAGACATGGTCCCTCCCCTCGCTCCAGTGATTCCTTTATGGTGACATTGTTGTTGTTGTTGTTGTAAAGTATATTGCCGATAACCTTAGATTTTTATGATAAGCCATCTCACATAATTGTTAGTCTGTAAAACAGAGTTGCTGAAGTATTATGTACATCTACAAGTCTCTGACGCTAATACAGTTTCACGACATGGTTGTAAAGCACGTCTGTGCCAACTTCAAGGTTGAGCTAGGAGACATTACAACCAGTTCCTCACGGGAGCAGTCACTGGAGTTATTTTGGAGAGTGGCTGCTGGATTGGAGGACTGATCATGCATGGGAATTCCCAGTGTGCAGTGATGTCGATTCTGAAAACATAACAGCTACACTACTTTTTTTGTGTGCCATCTCCAGGATGAAGGATGGCTGCAGTCCATTCTCTGCTGTCTTTGGCAATGTGACATGGTGAGAGCCCAGTATTTTCCATGCTTCAACTCTTCTACCACTGTCCGAAAGCCACAAAAAAATCTTTTTTAGAATTCTTAACAAACCATCTGCCATGGAAATTGAAATATAGTAAATCGAGGGTTTTGTATTGCAAAACACATTGCTAACCTTAAAGATAGAGGGAAGTGCACTGCTAGAGATACATAATAGTGGTTCCCCTTGACTGCTGTTTATGTATCTATCCAGTTAACCTTAGTCTTCGCAGCCAGTTGCTTCATTACTTTTCTGTCCTAATGTGTGTTCACCTTACAGTAACCGTCTTAGATTAGTAAGTACCCTTTGTGGGTTCCAGGGCCTCATTTTGAATCATGGGGAGGGGGGGGAGAGAATCGACCCGTCCCCCTTAATGCATGTCGTACAAGACCACTAATTAGAGGTTGACTGACATCATATCTGTTGGTCCTCCTTCTTCTTTGCATTCGGTTTCGTATGCTCTGATCAGACCATCAGGTGGCTTGCCAGTCTGTTGGTCTGATAGGTGCATTATAGCTTGGATCCTCCACTGAGATGAATTTATCAAACAAATGGATCTGGTCAACCAAGATGAAACAAAGGCACCAGAAATGTTCTGTGAGGTAAAAATAAAGGCGGCTGATCACATTATCCACGTGCCAGTAAGTCTGTAAAAATATAGCAAACAAACGCATGCCTGAATGCCCTAAGTGGAGGAAAGAGATCATTTATAATGCCTATATGATTTGATTGATGCATCTTTTTAGGACCATCTTGAACTGCACACTCGCCTGCAGATCAGAAGGTCATGGGTTTGAGACCTGACAGTACCGGAAATTTTTCAGAAATGACTTTGGCTTCCAGGTCGACCCAGCTTTACATGGTTACCATGTTGAGTCCTGGGAAGAAAAAGTGACTGGTGGGATGCTGACCACATCACCCACAAAAGTGCCAGTTGATCTATAAAATATAAGTCATGCTAAAATGTCTAATACACCTAAAGGAAAGGGTCCTTTACTTTACTTTATCTTTCACTACTACCTCTTTTGATTGTTTATCCTTAAAAAAGGCAGTTAGCTTGTTGTATTTTAATTTACTGTCTGTGCCTTTCATTCCAACACATATGATGATAGCAAATCCTTAATCACGTTTTATCTTCTTCTTCTTCACGTTCACCAGCTGTAAACTTTGCCGGGAAGTTCTGGTTGTGCGTCCTCCTCTGCTCTGAACTTGTATGGTCTTGTTCGAGAACCTGAGTGTAGCTTGCACATCCATTTTACAGATCTGACCTATTTGTATGCAGAATGTTGGCTCTTTGCCTCTCAGGCAGATGCACTCCAACTTCGAAGGAAGCTCCCAGTTGGTGCACTCTTATTACATGCTTGTTGGGGAAATACTGGGTCTAATCTTGTTTGCCCAACTTTGATGTTAAGGATAGTGAACCTGTTCATTTTGTAAAATTTTCATTACAGGATGGGACAGCAGAACTCACAAGTAGAGAGTTTTCTTCAATAATGTCAGTGATATTAAGTGCACGATAAATGCATAGAAAATGTGCGTGAATCATTAGTATAAAATTAATTAATAATAGTCGCTGCTGGTCAACTACTGGTATCAATAGTTAAGAGGAAAATGGCAGACATATATGGAGTACATTCTGAGGTGAAGCAGATAATCACAAAACAGACATTACAGTGGGAAACAAATGGATTAAGGAAATGGTGATGTTGAGCAGTAATAAACCATACGTTATATAGAGACACCAGATCATCTGGACTAGATTTCTGTACACTATATTTTAAAAAAAATTGTTAAGAACAGATTGCAAAGAGAAATCAACTTCAAGTCCTACATGACTTAAAAATGTTTTCACAGGATCGAGTTACCCTATTTGCAGCTGTGTAAGACAACCCAAACCATGCACCAGATGCTGCTTATTTTTTTAGCCATAAATTAAGACATAAATATTTTAAACATGCTCCTTGTATTAGAAAAGATATAAAACCGAACAAAAAGTATATCAGCAAGCTTCACAAAATAATGAGCACCAAACAAAACTTAGATGTTGCGGCTATGGAGCCTTCATCAGCACATACATAAAAAAAATACCACACAAATACACATATTCACTTAGCTTAGTATCTGGAAGCAGCCAGGTCGATGTCTTGTCAGTGGACTCCATGTATAACATCCTTGTCTCATCCCTAGGCATCCTTGTATAAGACAACTTCAAATTTTAAATTGAAAGACTTTCCCTGTCGGTTCTGGGTCAATTATATGGGGAAAAGAAGAATAGACCTACTGCCTTCCTAATAAGCGTGTTGTAAGTGTTGACTACTTGGGGAAACCAGCAATCTGCATACAAATAAGTCTGATCTGTTAAACAGATGTGCATGCAACACTTGGGTTATGGAACAAGTCTAAAATCCAGAGGTGGATGAACAGCCAGAACTTTCCACCGGAGTTTACAGCCAGTAAACGCAAAGAAGAAGAAGGAAAAATTTCAAAAATGTGGGACAACATATCGTTTTATACCCAGAAAAATACAGTATATGGCTTATCAGGTAATGTGAGGGCTAGACGCTAGCCTTGCTGATCTCGAGTTTGAATCTACACTTAGCAAATTTAGGGGGGGGGGGGTGACACATCCAGGTTCACAGCCTAAAATGGGTACAGAGCAATGTCATGGGAAGAGAGGGTGACCAAAACCCCCCCCCCCCCCCCCCCCCCCCCCTTTAGGGCTTATTGTTCTATAGACAGTGAGTGTCTGGCACCACACTTTGGACACACGTTGAGAAAACTTTACAACAGTATAACTAGAATGTCTTTGCACTGGAACCCACAGGGGCATAGAAACAAAGGAAGACCAAAAAACACACGGAGAAGGGAGCTAGAGAGTTAAGTTAAAAAAAGATTGGGAGCGCTGCTTATGATATCGAAGGATAGAATGACTTTGTGTGAGCTGGTTGAGGGCCTATGCTCCACTGGGGGCTAGAAAGGCAGAAGAAGAAGAAGAAGAATCATTTGCCTGAATCACCATTGGTGTGTAAAGGGTCCTTAACCTTGTAAACAGTGATGTATGCAAAGATGGGTCTGCTATCTTAGCCCCACACAAATTATCAGTGGGGAAAATATCTTTTTTTATAGCAACCAAATGTTGCCTGCATTTACTGTGTTGTCTTCTGTTGACTGTACAGTTTTTAGTTTTATACTAGCTAAATTAACTCTTTAACTACCAGAGAATGCACGACACAAACCTTATCAGTGTTTTGGAATTCTTGCAGGGATCCTAATCCTCCTTTTGGGATTAGATAATTAACGGATAGAATCATCGGCAATGAAATATTCTATTAAAAAAAAAAAAAATCTAAATGTTCATTTGGCAGTAAATTATTTCTAATCATTTTGTTTTAATCTTTTCTTTCACAGTGGATCTGGTGATGAAACAACCTCCTCAAGTAAGCTATCTTATCTTATCTTTAGTTAATGCAGTGGGTGGATTTGTTTTTTTAAATAGTGAATATGTACCTTCAAAATGTGAAGAATTATTTATAATCTCTGCCGCCGTGTGTTTGACACATCTGTAAGCATAAATGAAAGTGCTTCCATATGATGACTTGATAGTATTTTTTTTGCTTCGTCAAATTTATATTTAATTTTACATTTATTAACATAGACATTTAACTCTAAGCATCTGTGAATATGCCTTCCTGTGATACTTTGGCAGTATTTTTTATGTCATTTGTTCACTTCATTACCAAAGCTTTAGGCTGTATATGTATAAGCACTTACTGGTCAGATCAGTGGTTATATTTTTGAATCCTCCATGGATATAAATTTTAACAAAATCAAACATAGTAAAAGCTTATTAAGCACATATGTATCTGCCGACAAAGATAAAACATGGGTACCAGGAAATGTTCTGTGAAGTAAAGGTATAGATGGCTGACCACATCGTCATCATCAAGTGCCAGTGGGTCTATAAAAGTATGCGTCTAACACCAGATGTCCTAAATGCCCCACATCTCGGCAAGGGATAAGTGATTGTACTTATACATGTAAGTTTAGGTAAATAACATTAGTGAACTGTTTTTTTTAAATATAAAAATAGTTATAAGTAACACATTTGTCTTTGTATATAATGTAAGTGGCAGGCTTTTCTAGTAAATAACATTATTAACATGTTTTTCTTATTATATAATATTGGTGATTAGTAACATTAAAAACATGTTTTTTTTCGTTATTAAATAGCATTAGTTATAGGTTTTTGTTAGTAAACATTTTTATTGTCTTGTTTTTCTTAGTAAATAATATTAAAATGGATTATTTGTTAATCACATAAGTCACGTTTTTTTTTTTTTTTTAAATAGTAAGTAACGTTGGTGGCAGGTTTTGTAAACTATTGCACTTTTGGGCTGACACAGCTTTATACAATGAGATCCAGAAATTTCTCAGTCTCACTGTTTCTTCTCTGTTTCTCTCCTCCCTGTCACTCTTTTTTGCTTTCTCTCTCTCTCGCTCTCTATCCATAACATGCATTTTAGATAACAGGCATTGGTACTCTGAAAAATAAGTGCTTGGAAGGGCCGAATGTCAGACGGGCCTGCGTGCCCAATTTGTAACCCTTTGAAAATAAAGTTTGTTTGTTTGTTTGTTCGTACTCTACACCAGGTATTGGTGGTTGATGCAGTGCTCACCATCTTACCTTTCCTGTACTAGTTGTTTCACTGAAATATCCACCGGTACCAGCGTATCCAATTTGCTGTAATAGCTCACAAATAGCAATTAGCATTTTATAGTTACTGTTTCTAAGTTGCCTTTAGCAGATTGCACTGTATTGTTTTTGTTTCTAAGCTGCCTATATTAATTGGGACTGTATTGTTTTTGTTTCTAAGCTGCCTATATTAATTGGCACTGTATTGATTTTGTTTCTAAGCTGCCTATATTAATTGGCACTGTATTGTTTTTGTTTTTAAGCTGCCTATATTAATTGGCACTGTATTGTTCTTGTTTCTAAGCTGCCTATATTAATTGGCACTGTATTGTTCTTGTTTCCAAGCTGCCTATATTAATTGGGACTGTATTGTTCTTGTTTCTAAGCTGCCTATATTAATTGGAACTGTATTGTTCTTGTTTCTAAGCTGCCTATATTAATTGGGACTGTATTGTTCTTGTTTCTAAGCTGCCTATATTAATTGGGACTGTATTGTTCTTGTTTCTAAGCTGCCTATATTAATTGGGACTGTATTGTTCTTGTTTCTAAGCTGCCTATATTAATTGGGACTGTATTGTTCTTGTTTCTAAGCTGCCTATATTAATTGGCACTGTATTGATTTTGTTTCCAAGCTGCCTATATTAATTGGGACTGTATTGTTCTTTTTTCTAAGCTGCCTATATTAATTGGCACTGTATTGTTTTTGTTTTTAAGCTGCCTATATTAATTGGCACTGTATTGTTCTTGTTTCCAAGCTGCCTATATTAATTGGGACTGTATTGTTCTTGTTTCTAAGCTGCCTATATTAATTGGGACTATATTGATTTTGTTTCCAAGCTGCCTATATTAATTGGCACTGTATTGTTTTTGTTTTTAAGCTGCCTATATTAATTGGCACTGTATTGTTCTTGTTTCTAAGCTGCCTATATTAATTGGCACTGTATTGTTCTTGTTTCTAAGCTGCCTATATTAATTGGCACTGTATTGTTCTTGTTTCTAAGCTGCCTATATTAATTGGCACTGTATTGTTCTTGTTTCTAAGCTGCCTATATTAATTGGCACTGTATTGTTCTTGTTTCTAAGCTGCCTATATTAATTGGGACTGTATTGATTTTGTTTTTAAGCTGCCTATATTAATTGGGACTGTATTGTTCTTGTTTCTAAGCTGCCTATATTAGTTGGCACTGTATTGTTCTTGTTTCCAAGCTGCCTATATTAATTGGCACTGTATTGATTTTGTTTCCAAGCTGCCTATATTAGTTGGCACTGTATTGTTTTTGTTTTTAAGCTGCCTATATTAGTTGGCACTGTATTGTTTTTGTTTTTAAGCTGCCTATATTAATTGGCACTGTATTGATTTTGTTTCCAAGCTGCCTATATTAGTTGGCACTGTATTGTTTTTGTTTTTAAGCTGCCTATATTAGTTGGCACTGTATTGTTTTTGTTTCCAAGCTGCCTATATTAGTTGGCACTGTATTGTTTTTGTTTTTAAGCTGCCTATATTAGTTGGCACTGTATTGTTTTTGTTTTTAAGCTGCCTATATTAATTGGCACTGTATTGTTCTTGTTTCTAAGCTGCCTATATTAATTGGCACTGCATTGTTCTTGTTTCTAAGCTGCCTATATTAGTTGGCACTGCATTGTTTTGTTTTTAAGCTGCCTATTGTCATTGGCACTTTATTGTTAAAAGATATCAAAGCAAACAAAAGGAAGAACCAGTCACCTTCAAAGGGACACAAATTATAAGTGAACGTTGTGGCTATAGAGCCTTCATCAGCACATTACATGAATATATATTACCACGAATATAAACAAGAATACAAAAAAAAAGATCACCTAACTGATGTATCTCCGAGAGAAATCACATATCTAACTGCTGATACTATCATACTTTCACAGCTGACAGTCACTGCCACAGTAATGTTAAGAAAGGAGGCTTTGACAAGAAAGCCAGGACTCGGCTTATCCTGGCTAGTGTCCTGTGTTTGATGTTTATGATCGGAGAGATGGTTGGTAAGTTGTGGGGGTTGAGAGAAGGGTGAGGAATCCATCTTGGAAATGTTTGGGATTGGTGAGGGGTCATTCATGATCAGTTTGGATAACTGAGGGAAAGATGGTTGTTTAGGATGGGAAAGCTAGGATTAAATGAGGGAAGGTTGAGGGGTAATCCATAGGTGAATACTGGGATTACGAATGGAATGGAAGGAAGAAGGGTGAGCCAGGATTACTGAGGAAAGTTAAAGGAGTCATCCATGTAAATGCTGGGATAACTGAGGGAAGGGTGATTGTAATCCATGTAAATGCTGGGATAACTGAGGGAAGGGTGGGGGTAATCCATGTGAGTGCTGAGATTACTGTGGGAAGGGTTATTTTAATCCATGTAAATGCTGGGATTACTGAGGGAAGGGTGGGGTAATCCATGTGAGTGCTGAGATTACTGTGGGAAGGGTTATTTTAATCCATGTAAATGCTGGGTTGACTGAGGGAAGGGTGGGGTAATCCATGTAAATGCTGGGATAACAGAAGGACAAGGGGTGGCTCAGCCATTGGAATGCTGGAATAACCAAGCACAAGGATGAACCGCCAATCATTGAAATCCTAGGATAACTGAAGGCAGAGTGATAGAAAAGCTGTGGGAATGCAGGAATATTGGAGGATGGTGAGGATAATGGGGGGTCCGATATTGGAATGTTGCGATAATTGGAGAGAAGGAGAGGGGTCAGTCATTAGATTTATGGGATAACTGATGACAAGGGAGATCAGCCAGCCATTGGAATGCAAAGATAACTGAGGGATGGAGAGGGTTCAACCATTGGAATCCCTAGATAACAGGGATGGGAGAGGGTTCAACCATTGAAATCCCTAGATAACAGGGATGGAAGAGGGTTCAACCAATGGAATCCCTAGATAACAGGGATGGGAGAGGGTTCAACCATTGGAATCCCTAGATAACAGGAATGGGAGAGGGTTCAACCATTGGAATTCCTAGATAACAGGGATGGGAGAGGGTTCAACCATTGGAATCCCTAGATAACGAACGAACGAACGAACAAACTTTTTTTTTAAAGGGTTAAGAATTGGGCACGCAGGCCCGTCTGACATTCTGCCCTTCGAGGTCTCCCTCCATTCTTACATCATTTCATTCACACATCAAGTAATATTAAAAGTTAGCAATAGCATCAAAATAATCAATACAAGCACTGGAATGTGCACATTTCTAACTACAGTAAAACGTATTAGTTGTAACAAATCTAAGAAAAATGAGCGCTATTTTTCACATGTTTTATCTTCTATGGGGGCATATAATCGGTGCTCAGGTAATATTCGAACAGTTTCCGATTGTATGTAAATGGACTAGTGGTACTTTTGATTTGCTGTGGTAGATAGTTCCACAATTGAGCTGCGGAATATGACAGACTTGTTTTATAAAGGTCTATCCTAGGTTTAGGGATAACAGGGATGGGAGAGGGTTCAACCATTGGAATCCCTAGATAACAGGGATGGGAGAGGGTTCAACCATTGGAATCCCTAGATAACAGGGATGGGAGAGGGTTCAACCATTGGAATCCCTAGATAACAAGGATGGGAGAGGGTTCAACCATTGGAATCCCTAGATAACAGGGATGGAGAGGGTTCAACCATTGGAATCCCTAGATAACATTGATGGGAGAGGGGGTCAGCTACAGTGACTGCTCGATTAGAGGATTAACTTAAAACATGACAGGGCTCAGCAACTTAGCATCATGTCATTGGGACAGAGGCTACCATTATATTTATATCTAAATGGATACAGAATTTTAATAATTGCCTCAAATATGTTCTTTTTCTTCTTGACTTCCTCTTTCACCACTTCAGGGGTTGAAGAAATAAGGTTCTGCCCCTGGCTCATCTGACCGCCTCATCAAAAGATGATCATTCTGTTGTAGAGTTATTCGGCTGTTATCTCCAACCTTGTTCTGTGTCTGCCTCATGCTTTTCATCCCTCCCCCCCCCCCTTTTTTTTTTAGCGTATGCCTTGTTTGGTAAGGTTAGCTGCCATGGTGTAGGTGATAGGTGTTCACCTGTGGATCAGAAAGTCCTGGGTTGATGTCCTGATAAAGCTGGACTTATTTCAGAATTGACCTTGGCTCCCAGGTCGATCCAGCCTTGAGTGGGTACCAGGTATAGTCCTGGGAAGTCAGATTTTCTGTCAGAGGGGTTATCAGGCTATACGCTACGACCGAGAAGGGCACAAGGAAGGAGTTCTAATGCTTATTCAAAACTCAAAACCAGACAGCAAAGTACCTGTGAACTCAAACACTGAATCAGAAGTTATAGGTGTTGATATCGTCATAAAGGAGGAGACAGTCAGAATATACAATTTATATAGTCCAGCAAATAAAGATCTTGCACTTTCAAGATTGGAAATAAATTACACAAACTGTATAAAAGTTGGACACTCTAATAGATGCTCAGAAGGATGTGGATACCCTAGATACTGACACCAGAGGAGATGCAGTGGAGGACTGGGAAATGGACTCTAATCTCCATTTAATCAACAAACCAGAAGACAGACCAAGCTTCTACTCTAGAAGATGGTTTAATACTTCCACTCCTGACAGCCTTCTGCACAGGAGATAGTCTTCACAAAACCGATCGCATTGTACTAGATCTGCTAGCAAGCACTGATCATAGGCCAGCGAAACTCGGCGTAAATATGAATTATAAAAACCTCCTAGATTATGAACTGTTAGACAATCATAAAGTTTTCACTCTAGAAGGAATAAAAGGCCTGTGGATAAGAAAGTTAAGAAAGAGAAAAGAAAATTGTTAAAACAGTTTCCTCATCGATGATTTGTATATCACCTTCTACTACTTTGCATTGACTGGCTAACTCTAAGGGCAGGTCCTGGTTGTTCATCCACATCTAGACTTAAGTCTTGTTCCAGAACTTGAGTTTTGTGTGCACATCCATTTTACATAGTTTACTCATGAGCAGACTGTCAGTTCCCCACCTCTCAGGCAGATGCAGACTGTCAGTTCCCCACCTCTCAGATGCACTGCGGCTTTGAAAGAAAACCCCCCAATAATCACTTACTAAACATAAAATTTACTTGTGAAACCAAACAGCCAAAAACATTCTGTATTGGTTCTGCAGTTTCCTTGAAATTATGTGCAACAACATTTAAAAAAAAAAATGTTTAAGGGTGCAGTATGTATGTTCTTTCCCTCCACCCCCACCCCTTTTTCCACTAAAGATTTAAACCTGGAACCCACACGATGACCCGTGTATTGATATTGTAAACCAATGTTTTCCAGGTGGTCTGCTGGCCCACAGTTTAGCCATCATATCTGATGCAGCTCACTTGCTGACCGACTTTGCCAGTTTTATGATCAGCCTGTTGGCCTTGTATTTAGCCCACCGACCTGCCACCAAGAAGCTGAGTTTTGGCTGGTACAGAATAGGTAATGTATTTGGTTTTTTTTTTTCTCTTTTTCTTGTATGCTAATAAGAATGTTATGGTTCATCTCTATGAAATCCCCAGGTGGTTTCCAGGGTCCCTTTTTAGAGGTGGAAAAAGAACAGATCTACTGCCTCTTAACAACCATTTTGTAAAAGACGAGACTAATTGTGGAGTGTATTAGGCCAACCAAAAGGTGCAGATAAAGCCGCCTGACTGTAATCCACAACATAACATGCGTACAATCCTTTTAAGGGTGAATGAAGAATAAAATAAGAATTTGTGGTAGAGGCATTGAAGGCTGTTAGAGATCTTGTGTAGTGTGGTGAAGCATGATTGTCCACACCAGGTGGCCAGTAACAATGATGATGAGGATTTCTTCGCATTCACTGGCTGTAAACTCTGGCAGAAAGATCTGGTTGTTCACCTACCTTTGCACCTTAGACTTATTCTAGGACCTGAGTGTTGCATGCACATCTGTTTTACAGGTCTGACATATTTGTGTTACTTTGGGTTTTAAGGGAGTTACAAAAAATTCTTCTTCTTTATCATTTTTCTGAGTAACATAAAAGCATATGCGCCTTCCGGCTGAAATAACTGACTTCTTCAGGCATTTATTAGGGTTAACCTTTCCGGATAGTTTGTGTGACATTATCTCCTAATCCATAGGTGTTGTGCCGAAAGAACTCATCCAGGGCAGCCACCTTCAGATAGGTCAACCCTCAATGGAACACCCGACTAACGGACATTTGAACCTGAGTAGCCATTCATTAGGATTCTCAGTCGACAGATGTTTGAAACATAGTTTGACATATAGCAGGACTCTCAGTTGATAGATATTTGAGTCCAAATTTGTCATTTGTTAGGATACCTGGTCAGCATACTTCACACTTGTTCCTAATATGTTATTGATTGGCGTTATCAATGGAAGTAATTGATGGATATTATCACCCATGTACTGGAGGTAGGCTGATGACTGCCAGAGTATTTTTGGACACTGCGTCTTGCATAAGGATCTGTAAAACCAGCACGGAGCCGGCTGGTGACGGAGGTGAAGTCCAGGTCACACCAGCACAGAGCCGGCTGGTGACCGAGTTGAAGTCCAGGTAAAACCAGCACACAGCCGGCTGGTGACCAAGATCAGGTGCAGGGTATCTTCTTATACACATCACAACAGTGTTGACTTTCTCACATGCTTGTGACCGAGGTTACCACGCCACATAGAAGATTCTGATTCTAACTCTTCTGGCCATCTTGACCATACAGAATACCATTGTAGAGTGTCTCTGATATTATCTTCACCTTGATCTTAGTCTACCTCGGTGTCTACATCCATCTTCTCCTTTGGTGTCATTCATGAATGGTGTGCCATCACAGTTTCTCAGTGTGCAAACTATTTTATTGTCTTGATGAATGCTTGTTGTAATTTACATTGTGATGAAACCATCCACAGAAATACTGGGAGCCTTTGTCTCTATTCTCATGTTGTGGGTCCTAACTGGTATACTGGTGTACTCTGCTGTGCTGCGCATTATGGATGATAACTTTGAGATAGATGCCAGCATAATGTTGATAACTGCTGGCACTGGAGTTGCATTCAATGTAGTGTAAGTATCTGAGCTGTTTGTAATGTAGTGTCAGTATATGAGCTGTTTGTAATGTAATATTAGTATATGAGCTGTTTGTAATGTAGTGCTGGTGTAGTGCAAGTATATGAGCTGTTTGTAATATAGTATAAATATGTGAGTTTTTTGTAATCTATATATATATAAATCAATGTTTGAGTGTTTGTTTATTACATATAGACTCAGAAACTACTTAACCAATTTAGCTGAAATTTTTAGGATATGTTTGTTTTGAAATCGGAATTCTACCTGTCATGGAATAAAATAGGTGGCGACATGTGTTAGGAAAATATTTTCATTTTAGTGACATTTAATTAAAACAGCGTTCGTAAATGATCATGCGCAGTAGTTGGAACGCATGACATCCATCATTTCTGGTGTGGTACAGCAAACCAGACTGTCTCTGTATCTGTGCAGGCAATGAGTGCGCCATTAACCATGTTAGACACCATTTCTGTTTTCTTTCTTATCAAACAACCTTCGATGAGTTAGAGAGTAGTTGGTGAATTTGAAAAAAAAGGGGAGGAAGGGGGCATTGAAGACTACCTCTATATCTGCGCAGACAATGGTTGCGACATTAACCGTGTTAGACACGTTCAATTTCTATTGTTTTGCCGTTTCAATACTACTTTAAGTTTACGCCTGGGATATCTGTATATGAGAAAACAATTGCCTGCGGTTTTGAGTTGTGTTAGAATCGGGACACAGTAGTCAGGACACACATCTCAAATAGGTTTGTTCTCTTTTCGTTGCTTAGATGGAGTGGTTCATTGGCCGAACGGCTAGAACACTGGGCTCCAATGCGGGAGACCAGGGTTTGAATCCCTGGTACAGCATTTGTTTTTATTACCTGGGAGCAAAATAAAATTCTCTACTGCACTGTCAGCATTAGCCAAGCGGCCCTAAATACTTTTTTTTTTTAAAGTACAGGTTTGTGGGTAAACTAGTTGATAAATAAATGTGACCATTTCGCATACTTATTTAATTTCAAGCTTTCTGATTGCTTGCTTACATTGAATTTTTATAGATATCCATTTATTTTCATTAAATTATTTCGTCTGACATTGCGTTGGTTACATTGAATTTTTATAGATATCCATTTATTTTCATTAAATTATTTTGTCTGACATTGTGTTGGTTACATTGCATTTTTATAGATATCCATTTATTTTCATTAAATTATTTTGTCTGACATTGCGTTGGAATTAGGCTGTGTTGTTTACCATAGGATTCATTTCGTAACTGTGGTGTATTTTTTTCTTTTTTCTTTGCTTTTCACTTGGTTTATTTTCGCCAAACTAATTCGATGAGGGAAAGAGGGGGGGGGGGGGGGTTTGTCATAAACTGTTAACTGAGAGAGCTTAAAGTCACAGTAACTGCCTTGCCCACTTAAAGTAGCAGTAGTAGTATTTGTGGTTGAGCTGTTACACCGTAGTGCTGTCATGCCGGAGACCGCCAGTAAGGTGATGGTGTTTTTCTGTCGGGGAGCAAAATTACACATCCTAATCTGACCAGTCCGTGACGATAGCACTAGCCATGCAGCGCCAAATCTTCTGGCTCACGACTCTTTGTCTACTCCGATGGTAAAACAGATAGCAGTGACATTATTTTAGTTATTGTGGTGGTGGTCGTGGTAGTTGTACTGGTACTTAAAAGATGGTGTGGTAAATATTACACTAGCCACATTTACTACTCATTACAATTCCTGCTCCCCATTTTAGTCCGGATGGACAGGGATATCATGCTCAGTTACAAGGTCAGGTGATGACTTTCAAATCCTTTGAAGAGGAATAGAGCAGTAGTCTGTTGATGGGGTATTTTAAAGTCTTCATTTCTTAATTTGTTTATATTTTACTAACGCTACCTCCGTTATTCTCTTTTTTTTTAACGACCTTCTTTGTTATTTACAAGTACAGTAGTAAGCTTTACTTCCGTCTCTTTAAAAAAAAAACACAAACAGCTTTAGCATGTGATAACCAAATCACCATTTTTTTTACTGTCCTAATAATACAATTTAAATTACCACTAATATTAAGAGACAATTATATATTTCGTGTTCTAAAGCCAGCGAACCAGACTATCTCTATATCTGTGCAGACAATGATTGCAACATTAACTATATTAGACACGTGCAATTTCTATTGTCTTTCTTTTCCAAGAACCTTCAATGAGGGAGAAAGTAGTAGGTGAATTGGGGGGTGGGCATCAAAGACTATCTCTGTATGTGCGCAGACAATGATTGCGACAGTAACCCTATTAGACATGCATGATTTCTATTTTCTTTCTTTTCCGTTTAGCCAAACTATGCCACAGCAACGCGTGGCCGGGTACAGCTAGTGTAGTATAAATATAGGAGCTGTTTGTAATGTAGTATAAGTATGTGATCTGTTATGTAGTATAAATATAGGAGCTGTTTGTAATGTAGTATAAGTATGTGATCTGTTATGTAGTATAAATATAGGAGCTGTTTGTAATGTAATAAGTATGTGATCTGTTGTGTAGTATAAATATATGAGCTGTTTGTAATATATTATAAATATGTGAGCTGTTTATGATGTAGTATAAGTATATGAGCTGTTTGTAATGTAGTGTCAGTATATGAGCTGTTTGTAATATATTATAAATATGTGAGCTGTTTATGATGTAGTATAAGTATGTGAGCTGTTTGTAATGTAGTGTCAGTATATGAGCTGTTTGTAATATATTATAAATATGTGAGCTGTTTATGATGTAGTATAAGTATGTGAGCTGTTTGTAATGTAGTGTCAGTTTATGAGCTGTTTGTAATGTAGTATAAGTATGTGAGCTGTTTGTAATGTATTGTCAGTATATGAGCTGTTTGCAATGTATTGTCAGTATATGAGCTGTTTGTAATGTATTGTCAGTAAATGAGCTGTTTGTAATGTGGTATAAGTAAGTGAGCTGTTTGTAATGTATTGTCAGTATATGAGCTGTTTGTAATGTATTGTCAGTATATGAGCTGTTTGTAATGTATTGTCAGTATATGAGCTGTTTGTAATGTAGTATAAGTATGTGAGCTGTTTGTAATGTATTGTCAGTATATGAGCTGTTTGTAATGTATTGTCAGTATATGAGCTGTTTGTAATGTATTGTCAGTATATGAGCTGTTTGTAATGTAGTATAAGTATGTGAGCTGTTTGTAATGTATTGTCAGTATATGAGCTGTTTGTAATGTATTGTCAGTATATGAGCTGTTTGTAATGTAGTATAAGTATGTGAGCTGTTTGTAATGTAGTATAAGTATGTGAGCTGTTTGTAATGTATTGTCAGTATATGAGCTGTTTGTAATAGAGTATAGGTATGTGAGCGGTTTGTAATGTATTGTCAGTATATGAGCTGTTTGTAATGTATTGTCAGTATATGAGCTGTTTGTAATGTAGTATAAGTATGTGAGCTGTTTGTAATGTATTGTCAGTATATGAGCTGTTTGTAATGTATTGTCAGTATATGAGCTGTTTGTAATGTAGTATAAGTATGTGAGCTGTTTGTAATGTATTGTCAGTATATGAGCTGTTTGTAATGTATTGTCAGTATATGAGCTGTTTGTAATAGAGTATAGGTATGTGAGCTGTTTGTAATGTATTGTCAGTATATGAGCTGTGTGTAATGTAGTGTAAGTAAATGAGCTGTCTCATTAAGCATAAGAAAAATAGCACTGAAATGTTATGTTAAATCAGTTGCTATATGGCTGTGATTCTGCGAGTGTAAAGAATAAAAGGACCAATTTTCATACCCTTAGGCATATTGGGCATTTAGTGCTTGACCCATATCAGTTGGCACTCAAAGGGGAGCAGGGTATGGTCATTGTCGCGCCAGCTGCCTTGACTTCCCCGGACTTTATCTAATACCCATTTTAGGCTAGGTCAACCTGGGAGCCATTTAAAAAGCAATTTAAAACCTTTTCTTTTAAAATAAAGTCTAGCTGCATTCAGATCTAAACTCAGACTTTCAGATCTGCAGGCCAGCATTTAGCCGCTACACCACGGCCGATCCAATCTTGGAGTGTGAATTAACATGGAGATGTGGTTTCTGAGAGTCATTCTGCAAATATTACGGACTGCCTGAGGATCTAACGACGACTGTATGGAAATGGCTAGTGAAACTTTAAAACTAAATAACTATAATTTATAGGCAATCTGTGTTCTTCATGAAATGAGGCACTGGAGAACATGATGTTGACTGGATAGGTCAACGGTAGAGGCACACAAAGATAGATATGATACTTGAAGGCCTGAAATGATGGAATGAAGGAATATCATCAGTGGAGTTGATTCAGAATACAATGGACGAAGATCTATGTAGAAACATTAGTGTCTACGCCATGTGGCAGGGCAGATGATGACGATGGTGGTGATGATGATGATGTAGAACCTAGAAAAGCATGGTGAGTGTCTTGGAACATGTTTAGCGACATCTCTTTTGACCTGAAGTTCTTATAGTCTTTTAAGTGTTGCCAATTCAACATTGTCTCTTGAATCATCTTCTCATCCTGCTTCCTTGAGAGCATTGAGAATGTCAGCCTGATCCATGGCTTTTCCTGTACCTACCGTGGCGCTGCCAGCAAGCCAATCTGCACCGTTCATTCCCTCTTACCCCAGAGTGTCCTGGCACAAAAAAGGAAACTAATTTCTATCAGACAAGTTTTCCTCAGCAACTGCAACCATTTACTTTGAATCCGTCCTCTCTACCTTCTTAAGCTGTCTCTACCTTCTTAAGCTGTCTCTACCTTCTTATGCTGTCTCTACCTTCTTAAGCTGTCTCTACCTTCTTAAGCTGTCTCTACCTTCTTAAGCTGTCTCTACCTTCTTAAGCTGTCTCTACCTTCTTATGATGTCTCTACCTTCTTAAGCTGTCTCTACCTTCTTATGCTGTCTTTACCTTCTTAAGCTGTCTCTACCTTTTTAAGCTTGTTTCTACCTTCTTATGCTGTCTTTACCTTCTTAAGCTGTCTCTACCTTCTTAACTCTTTGAGTCCCAAAGAACGCATGATACGTTCATAGCTTCCTGCCTAAGGGCCCAATGAACGCCAGATGCGCCGATTTTACATCTCTCTTACTACCCCTTGGGCCTCCGATGCTAAACCCCCTGGGACTCAAAGAGTTAATCATGCTCATGGAATCACTTAGAAATCACCCACAGAAGTTAAAAGGGCAACAACTAAATGTTTTATCATTGGTTCTTTGTTTCAGACTTGGAGTGACCCTACACCAGCATGCACATAGCCACGGAGGAGGCCACGGACATTCCCACGGAGGTTCGGATCATTCCCACAACAAACAGAAAACGGAAAAACAGGTTCTATCCACATCCGCTGTCCACAGCTACGGGAGCTTCCACGATGTGGAGGCAGGGGAACGAGCTAATCTCATCTCGTCTGCTTCTGATGGGGAAGAGGAGGGAGGTCATGGGCATGACCCTGAGCACAGGTCATCCAACATCAATGTCAAGGCTGCATTTATTCATGTCCTTGGTGACCTGTTTCAGAGTGTGGGTGTGTTGGTCGCTGCTTTCATTATCTATTATAAGGTGGGTATATAAATCTGTGTTTTCATATTGTATTTTTTAAAAATGTTGTTCAGTCTACCATTTACAGAACGAATGAACAAACTTTATTTTCAGAGCGTTAAGGATTGGGCATGCAGGTCCTTCTGACATTCTGCTTTTCTAATCTCACTCCTTTTGCACATCTTTGCATTCATATATCATTCCATTCATACATCATTCCATTCATACATCATTCCATTCAGTGATCATTCCATTCATACATCATTCCATTCATACATCATTCCATTCATACATCATTCCATTCAGTGATCATTCCATTCATACATCATTCCATTCATACATCATTCCATTCATACATCATTCCATTCATACATCATTCCATTCATACATCATTCCATTCATACATCATTCCATTCAGTGATCATTCCATTCATATATCATTCCATTCATACATCATTCCATTCATACATCATTCCATTCATACATCATTCCATTCATACATCATTCCATTCAGTGATCATTCCATTCATATATCATTCCATTCATACATCATTCCATTCAGTGATCATTCCATTCATACATCATTCCATTCATACATCATTCCATTCATACATCATTCCATTCAGTGATCATTCCATTCATATATCATTCCATTCATACATCATTCCATTCATACATCATTCCATTCAGTGATCATTCCATTCATATATCATTCCATTCATACATCATTCCATTCAGTGATCATTCCATTCATACATCATTCCATTCATACATCATTCCATTCATATATCATTCCATTCATATATCATTCCATTCAGTGATCATTCCATTCATATATCATTCCATTCAGTGATCATTCCATTCATACATCATTCCATTCAGTGATCATTCCATTCATATATCATTCCATTCAGTGATCATTCCATTCATATATCATTCCATTCAGTGATCATTCCATTCATACATCATTCCATTCATACATCATTCCATTCATACATCATTCCATTCAGTGATCATTCCATTCATACATCATTCCATTCAGTGATCATTCCATTCATACATCATTCCATTCATACATCATTCCATTCATACATCATTCCATTCATACATCATTCCATTCAGTGATCATTCCATTCATACATCATTCCATTCATACATCATTCCATTCATACATCATTCCATTCAGTGATCATTCCATTCATACATCTGTTAACAAGTAATAGCAAACATTATTAGCAGCAGCTAAATATTAAATACAAGCAGTAGAATGTGCTTGATTTACAACTGCATTTCTAACAACAGTAAACCATAGTAATTGTAATAAATTCATTGATTCATTGTCATGTTGTGTCATTATATGTCACCTAGAGCTCACAGTTTATTCATTCATCTGTTCTATTCTTGCAGTCCGTTCAGTATTATGGTTGGAATCCAGTCTGGCACCTTTGGTCTCTCTCATCATCATTAATTTTAAGGTTTCCTCTCCAGAAGATTCTCTTCTGGTTTCTTCTCAGGAAGTGTTCAATATAAAGCCATATTCTCTGTCTCATAACTGTGTATACGGATCATGGATGTCAATGCCGCAAGTGCTGTGATGCCCATTCTTGACTCAACTCAACTGTTGATACTGATGCTTGCCCAGATATTTCCTTTATTTCTTCACCACTCTTGAATTCATCCCATTTTATTTTAATTATTTTCATCAGAATTTGTTTTTGAAAACATTTAACTTTTGTTCCATATATTTATTGGTTCTCCGACTTTCACTGGCTTATGTTAGAACTGAAATAATATTAGAATTGAAAGTAAGTCACCTGATATGAAAACAAAACAGTTTAGAGAGTTCCATATTTTGTTCAGGTTTTTAAAAGCTGGATACCTTGCACGTGTGTGACATAGTTACTTTCTTTGTATTTCCTCTACCGTCAAAAATTACTACCTAAATAAGTAAATTGATCTGTTACTTTAATTACCTTTGTCTCTAGTGTTACATCTGCTTGATCTGTTATTGGTGTCTTGAATATATTTGTGTTTTCTTAACTTATTTGTAGTCCATCTTTTGAGGCTCATCATCATCACGTGCCCTGCCAGCAGTCATAGGCACTCATGCGTCTCCACAGATCACAATCCCTGGTTGCCTGGAACAGCTCTCTTGATGATATCCCTCCGTGCCATTGTTTCAGCTCCCCAGCATCTTGGTCTGCCTCTACCCCTTTTTCACTGATCTTTCCAGTTGTCATGATGTTCTCCAATGTCTCTCTTCTCATTATGTGACCAAAGAACAGTGTTTGTCTCTTTCTTATTGTTGTAAATAGAGATCTACTTTCATTAGCCTCTTCAAGCAATTGCTGTTAGTTACTCTTGCTGTCCAAGGTATTCGTAACATTCGTCTCAGAAACCACATCTCTGTTGCTTCCGAATTCTGCCTAATTTGTTTACTGTCATACTGTTTACAGCAGAACAGCTTCTATGTAACATTTGAGTACCCTCATCTTTTGATGCTGTATTTCCTAAATCAAGTGCTTCTCTTGACATGTTGTTGTTATTATTTATTAGCAGAACAGTATCATCAGCAAAATCAAGATCTTCCAACTATGTGTTTTCCCCTCTGGTCAGTGCCGGTATTTCCAACACAACATTGGTCATCAGCCAGTCAGTGGTTCTGCCAAATATTAGGGGAAATAAAATGCATCCATGTTTCATTCCACTTTCAACCTCTGGCTTGTGGATCATTGCCAATTGTGTTGTTTTAATGATCTTTCTGTTCTGGAGCTTGAGTCTCAGGCCTGTGACGATCCCTGTTTTTAAAATATTTTCATACCTCAATCAGCTTTATTGAACAAACCATCATCTGTTTGGCACTGCACACTGTGAACTTTTGTACGCTGCCGTAATAATAATTATCATTTTCATTGGTGTACCATAGCATTCTAAAATCCTCATAGTGATGTCTTAAGCTATCAGAAGTCTTCTTAAAGTTGATAAAATTCAAAAAAAATTTTTACCAATTCCTTTAAAATAAGCCTACAGTGAATATTTGATCTAAGCAGCTACTTCCAGGTTGAAAATCTGCTTGGTCAGAATTTTGTCCACTACCCCTTTAATTGTACTGAGAACTATTTTACAAAGAGACTGTGACATTACTTATAAAATTATTTCCTCTGCAGTTGTTTGTCAGTAAGATTACCTTTCTTTTAAATGTTAACTATTATTTCCTTCTTTCGTTGATTTTGAACTTTTCCCTGTGTCCATATCCTATTAAACAAATCTTTGACTCAGTTAATGGTTACATCATCTGCTGTCTTGAGCTTTTCTACAGTAAAATCATCAACTTCTGTCTTATTGTTTGCTAATGAATTGATTACCTCCCTGATTTCCATATCGTTTATCTGTCCTATATTTAGTCGTAGCATGGTCAGAAAGTTCTGATTGTTCATCCAGTCCTGGACTTTCGTCTTGATTCAGAATTTGAGTTTTGCATGCACAACCGTTTTACAGATCTAGCTTGTATTTACATGCAGACTTTCGGTTCCTTGCCTCTCAGATAGGTGCACTCTTGAGTTTGAAGGAAACACCCCTAATTAGTCGCCTCTTACGACATGCTTTTTGTTTTTTGGTTGTGGGTAGTTCTATTCTTTGCTGTCCGAAATGGAGCCCGGAAACTGACACAGGGAGGTCTTGCATCAAAATCCTCATATGCGTCAAGCACTATATGCCAATCCGCTGTTGGTTTAAACAGGGTCTTTTTTTTCTTTAAATTTTGAACATGTGTTTGAAATTCTTAAACTCAAAATGTACTTTTTGTTCTACCAGCCTGAGTGGAAGATAGCTGATCCTATTTGTACATTCCTGTTTTCCCTCTTTGTGCTGATAACAACAATCACAATTATGAGGGACATTTTGGTGGTTCTTATGGAAGGTAAGACATGATGTTCACTTCAGGTTTTCCTTTCTGTTATTTATTAATTGTCGCCTCCAAGTCGGTGCGAACGCTTCCTAATGCCGGGTTCGATCCCAGCTGCAGGCCATGCGCCTTGCGTGGGTGTCGACAGTAGCATCGAGAGAGCCGATCGTCCAGAAAGCAGTGGCAAACTACTGGACTTAAATTTGACTAAAAAAAACAATGTCCTGTAAAGGATACGCAATTAACCTATTTATTAATTATCCTGTGGTGTCCAGTATATGTCACATAGGGCTAAAAGTGTGTTCCTCCATTCTGTTCTAACCTTGCCATATTTTCAATGTCTTGTATGGAGTCTTGTGTAAAGCAAGGGGAAACTACAATGGCATCATCATCATCATCATCATCAATGAGCAGTCCTTTACAGACCTTCACTGCATGCCTGAAAGTACACCTTTCCCTAGCCAGCTGTCCAGCCCAGTGCCCTCTTAGTGCCAATGCATCTTCAATGTCCTGAATCCATCTTCCCGAAGGTCGACCTCTTCCTCACCTTCCACAAACTGCACCCACCATCACCATCTTTTCCAGTCTACCCCCCCCCCCCCCCCCCCCCCCTGCCCATGTGCATTGCAAGAAGAGGGAAAATGTTGACCTTCTTCAGGATAATTGAACATTCTATAAAAATCAAAAATGGTCACATGCATCAGAGCAGTTTGTACCATTGGCTCTAAACAAAAACTATTGATCCCAAACCCTTGGTGAATGACTGGTGTAGGAATGTTGAATGAAGAATCGACATCACAGCACTCAGGACACCTACATAACCGCTCCCCATCTTCAGCAGCAAGTGAATGAGTTAAAATTCTGATGGTACCAGTAACTGTCTGATTGTATATCGGTCTTGCCTTTTCCTGAGTGTTGAGCGTCGGTAAAACCCCCTTGTAACTCCTCGCAGTGTCATTCTCCTCAGCCCTTACTGATCTATCTGTTCCTCGGCACTGTTCACTCACTCCCAAAGGCCCTCGCAACATCCAGATTGTCATACATCAGTTCACCACCAAGTGGTGCAGAACCAGCTAGTCTATCTGCCTGCTCATTTCCCAACACACAAACATGACCTGGAGAAAATATCAACTAGGTAGGAAACACCAAAAAGATTCTTGTGTTATCATGGATGGTGACACCTTCCAAACAGTAATCTCCCTACTTGACTCCTTCTACTTCCATATGCTATGCCACCATTTTTATGAAGGTTTTGTATCTTTTTTCATTATTTGTTTTTGGTTTTATTCAAGTATGATTATAATCTGTTACTATATTTACAGTGTACTGTGTTTGGGAAAGTACAGTTTTAGTTTTTTGGACATTCAACCAGTTTAATTTATTTTCCATCATTTTAATGGGAAAAATTGCCTTGGAACTTGAACTATAGAATTTGATCACCATCTCGGAACAGATTGTGTTTGAATTTCTAGATACTACTGTACTTGCCTAGATTAAACTTTTTTAAATTTGTTCTGTGCAGGTACTCCAAGGGGTATTAATTTGTCTGAAGTGAGGAACACATTTTTTGAAATCGACGGAGTACTGGACATTCATAATCTCAGGGTCTGGTCACTGACCATGGATAAAATTGCCTTGTCTGTTCATTTGGCTATTGGTAAGTATATGTCCTTGAAATGTCTGGCTTAGATTGTTCTTTCTGTAGTGTTTGTGTAAAATCTAGTTTGTTTCTGTAGTGTTTGTGTAAAATCTAGTTTGTTTCTGTAGTGTTTGTGTAACATCTAGTTTGTTTCTGTAGTGTTTGTGTAAAATCTAGCTTGTTTCTGTAGTGTTTGTGTAACATCTAGTTTGTTTCTGTAGTGTTTGTGAAACATGTAGTTTGTTTCTGCAGTGTTTGTGTAACATCTAGTTTGTTTCTGTAGTGTTTGTGTAACATCTAGTTTGTTTCTGTAGCGTTTGTGTAACATTTAGTTTGTTTCTGTAGTGTTTGTGTAAAATCTAGTTTGTTTCTGTAGTGTTTGTGTAAAATCTAGTTTGTTTCTGTAGTGTTTGTGTAATGTGTAGTTTGTTTCTGTAGTGTTTGTGTAAAATCTAGTTTGTTTCTGTAGTATTTGTGTAAAATCTAGTTTGTTTCTGTAGTGTTTGTGTAACATCTAGTTTATTTCTGTAGTGTTTGTGTAAAATCTAGTTTGTTTCTGCAGTGTTTGTGTAACATCTAGTTTGTTTCTGTAGTGTTTGTGTAAAATCTAGTTTGTTTCTGTAGTATTTGTGTGACATCTAGTTTGTTTCTGTAGTGTTTGTTTAAAATCTAGTTTATTTCTGTAGTGTTTGTGTAACATCTAGTTTGTTTCTGTAGTGTTTGTGTAAAATCTAGTTTGTTTCTGTAGTGTTTGTGTAACATGTAGTTTGTTTCTGTAGTGTTTGTGTAAAATCTAGTTTGTTTCTGTAGTGTTTTTGTAAAATCTAGTTTGTTTCTGTAGTGTTTGTGTAACATCTAGTTTGTTTATGTAGTGTTTGTGTAACATCTAGTTTGTTTCTGTAGTGTTTGTGTAACATCTAGTTTGTTTATGTAGCATTTGTGTAACATCTAGTTTGTTTCTGTAGTGTTTGTGTAAAATCTAGTTTGTTTCTGTAGCGTTTGTGTAAAATCTAGTTTGTTTCTGTAGTGTTTGTGTAAAATCTAGTTTGTTTCTGTAGTGTTTGTGTAAAATCTAGTTTGTTTCTGTAGTGTTTTTGTAAAATCTAGATTGTTTTTGTAGTGTTTGTGTAACATCTAGTTTATTTCTGTAGTGTTTGTGTAAAATCTAGTTTGTTTCTGTAGTATTTGTGTGACATCTAGTTTGTTTCTGTAGTGTTTGTTTAAAGTCTAGTTTATTTCTGTAGTGTTTGTGTAACATCTAGTTTGTTTCTGTAGTGTTTGTGTAAAATCTAGTTTGTTTCTGTAGTGTTTGTGTAACATCTAGTTTGTTTCTGTAGTGTTTGTGTAACATCTAGTTTAGATTCTCTGTTGCTGAAGTCAGAGGCAACCGGCCAGAAGGTGCACTATGACAGTAAGGATGGGAATAGGTTGTTCAGATATCACTCACCTCTTAATTTTGATCACCCCCCTCCCCCCAGGGGGTCCTCACCGCACCAGTTGGGAACCACTGATATAGATATATTAAAAACCTGTTTAATCATAGTTATATGCTCATACAGTGTCAAGTTGTGTAAGCACACTGTAATTTCCTTAGCCTGCTCTGTATTGGGTCCATAAACAAAGAAGACCCAAACAAATGGCACAGTTCATTGTCTGGCTTATTTCACTCTACCTCATCGGGGGCTTACCAGTAGAGGACCCTTCTCACACCAAAGGCACATCTGTCATGTTATGCTACACTCATACTTTTAAAGATAAATAGGCACTTCGTGGGTGATCTGGCCTATGTTAAGTTGGTCACCTTTGCTTCCTGTGACTTTACCAGGTGCTTATTTTAGGCGTGGTCTGCTGGGAGCGAATGACGTTGACAAAATAGATCTAACTAGATGTGGGTTTGATAGTGCCTACAGCAGTCATCATCATCATCATGTAGCAGGTCCTTTGAAGTATGTCGCTGTCATCACGGTCTGCCTGACGGAAACTCAGTCTCTCGCCAGCTCTCCCACCTCGTGCGCTTTCATATCCAAGAAGTCACTTGTATCATGCACCCATCTTTATGCTCAGCCCCTGCCCCTCCTTCTTGGTACCATGACTTCTGAGTGGTCTCAAGACATAGTGTCTGCCTCGAGTGCTGGAGGTCCAGGTTTCAGGACCTGGTGAAGGCTGGAAATTTTTTTCCCTGGTCTCTGGCTAGTAAGATTGGATGCCCATGTGTATTGTTGCGCACATAAAAAAAATCCCTGGGCTACCTGGGCAAAAATTTAGTTTTAACATTTCTACCCAAAGTATTTCAGGATCCTTGCCTGTACTACAGAGCTGGAGCTCTGTGCTGAGATTCTTCAGACTCAGGCATGAGTTAGAAGCAGAACGGAGCACATATGTGTAACTACCCTTATGCCATGATGTTGATTGATCGTTTTAACAAATCAAACAGATCTTTTACTGCAGTAACAGTTCTATACGATGAGGCACATTTTAAAAAATCCTTTCAGCTGTGCAGTCTATTGTTGGTGTCTTTTTAGTTCAAATTGACACCAGGGATACATTGTTTTTTGCATCTGTTTCAGATAAGCAATCTGATCCCCACAAAGTTCTAAAGTCAGCATCTGTAGCAATTCAGCAGAGGTTCAACATCTCTGAAACCACCATGCAGATAGAAGAGTATGTTAACGACATGATCGACTGCCAGGACTGCCAAGGCCCTAAACTCTAGCCACTGATTTATATAGTTTTATGATTCTCATTATTATTGTTGTTACAAGTTTTGGACCAGTGACATTTTCACTGTTTCTGTACCAAGGCACGTATAATATGTTGAGCAATTAGCTAAAATATTCCTATGACCCAATCTCACCAAATCTTGCTATGACCCAGACTTGATTCAAATCTCCCTTTTACTCAGTTATAACTTAAATCTTCCTATTACTCATTCATGACTCAAACTCTCCCTGTGGCTTAGTCATGACTCATATCTTCCTAGAACCCAAACTTGACTTTAATCAGGTAATCAAGTTCCCACTTCATAGCAAATGAGTCACCCTGTAGTTGCCCTATGCCAACAAAAAAACCGCACAGAATATCCATCATTGGATTTCACCCTTGTGAAAAATGTGACTTAAATTTACTTGCCGATGACTCAAGCATTCCTTTTATCCTGCTATGACCCAAACATGGTGACCCAAATCTTCATATGTATTCATATTAGACATATAATTTATGTTGTTTTGATTTACATTGACAGCAGTAAGTGAATAAACAATACACAACCATTGTTTTATTGAGGTGGATTCATGGGAATAAAATGCCATAGACTCCCTTCCCTTGAGTAGAGACGGCAAATCAGGAACGGAATGAGAATGAAGGAAGAAATGACTGCAGAAAGGAGAATAAGAGCTGAGTATCTAAAAAGACACATACTAAATACATATAATGGCAGCAATGGTCCTGAAATCCATGCTCTAACTGTGGAAGACTTTCTTAACGCAGGCGGGTCTTGCTAGTCACAGTCGCCATCATCATAGACTGTGAGTCCTGTGTCTCCTCATAGCACAATGTAACACTGTCGTCTGGAAAGGTGCCAACAAAATGCAGTTATGCTGTAAGGAAATCAGCTACACTCTAACCAACCATATAGCTCTGAACTTAGATGTTAGTGAATGCATTTAACAGTTTTATGATCCTTGCATAATATTGTTTGATTCCTAAAGCAGATGGTTTATTGGAGAATTAGAAAACTCTTTAGCAGCTTCGAAGAGTGGTAGGAGAGTTGTACCATGGAAGAGATTGGGGCCTTTCCGTGTGATATTCCCAGAGGCAATGTTGGGCCACTGTAGGCATCCTTCATTGTGAAAATGGCACAGTATTTTTTTTTAACATATCATGAAATCAAGTAATTGTAGTTTTAGTGTCATCGCAGAATAGCAGACGACTTATTCCACAGTTGCTTCAGTCCTATGCCAACGTAAACCACACACACACACACACAAAAGTCACAGACTGCAGTATCAGCAAGTGCCAACACAAACAGTCCATCACTAGAAATGCAGTTCATTGTCCGTGGAAGCATAAATCAGAACAGATCGGTAGTTGCATAGACGATTAACTCTATATAGCAACTGTCTGAGATAAGAGAGAGTAGTAAAAGTGTAATATTGTTGGCTTCTCAATATAATAAATGTCTGAGATAAGAGAGAGTAGTAAAAGTGTAATATCGTTGGCTTCTCAATATAATAAATGTCTGAGATAAGAGAGAGTAGTAAAAGTGTAATATCGTTGGCTTCTCAATATAATAAATGTCTGAGATAAGAGATAGTAGTAAAAGTGTAATATCGTTGGCTTCTCAATATAATAACTGTCTGAGATAAGAGAGAGTAGTAAAAGTGTAATATCGTTGGCTTCTCAATATAATAACTGTCTGAGATAAGAGAGAGTAGTAAAAGTGTAATATCGTTGGCTTCTCAATATAATAAATGTCTGAGATAAGAGAGAGTAGTAAAAGTGTAATATCGTTGGCTTCTCAATATAATAACTGTCTGAGATAAGAGAGAGTAGTAAAAGTGTAATATCGTTGGCTTCTCAATATAATAAATGTCTGAGATAAGAGAGAGTAGTAAAAGTGTAATATCGTTGGCTTCTCAATATAATAACTGTCTGAGATAAGAGAGAGTAGTAAAAGTGTAATATCTTTGGACTATTTGTAACAACTGTCTGAGATAAGAGAAAGTAGTAAAAGTATAATATCTTTGGACTACTTTATATAAAACCATCTGAAATAAGAGAGAGTAGTAAAAGTGTAATATCTTTGGACTATTCTTTGTAACAACTGTCTGAGATAAGAGAAAGTAGTAAAAGTATAATATCTTTGGACTACTTTATATAAAACCATCTGAAATAAGAGAGAGTAGTAAAAGTGTAATATCCGTAGACTACCTACCTAGTAAACTCATGGTGATGCACATGGTACGGAAAGCGTTAAAATGGTGTGCTCATTGTAAACTGGTGTATTTTATGTTTTCTGT